GGTGACAGTGACTCTGTCTCAAAACAAACAAACAAACAAGAACAACAACAACAAAAACCCAACATCAGGGCTTTACCCTAAACCAGTTAAATCAGGATCTCTCAAAGTGAGCCCTAGGCATCTGGATTTTCCCAAAGATCCCCAGGAAATTCTAATGTACGGCAAAGTTTGGGAACCACTGTATTGTAGTATTCTCTATCATTGAGATACCTGCCAGATATGGATACTGTATTGGTAAGTTAGTTTGCTGCATGACAGTGAAGAAGATGAAAAACTCTGCTGAAAGGGATCCTTGATTTCAACATTACCTGTACCTTAAGCACAGACATAGAGATGGAATGACAGTTTCTTCTGGGTAAAATCAAATTCTAAATCTAAAACAGCAATTTCAAGATTATGCGCTTGGTATATCACCTGTACAATTCTAACTTCACTGTCTATTATTCCACTATGTAGCTGTCACTAAACTGAAAATCACAAGGAATTATTCTTACCCATATGCCCAGTTGTTTCCAGAACCTTGTTTTTGACAGAAGCATGCATGTTTACCATATTTCCATTGGCCAGATTGGGCAGCCTTTGACAGCGTTTGATTGATAACTTTGGGTTCCATGTCAACAAGAACAGCCCGGGCAATGGGAACTAGAGGAGGAAAAAAAAAAAAAAAACCATCAAAAGAAAAAAAGATTTCTTGATCATGGTATCTCCCCTGCCAGGTAAGTATGAAAAAAAGATTTCTTATGTCTTAGTTAGGTAACTCAGAGCATAAGTAAGTGTCCAAGTCAAAAAAAAAAAAAAAAAAAATCCAGGGGTTGGGGATAGAAAGAGCTGCCATACTGCTTAGAAATTCCAGTGGGCAGCAGCAGGCATATGCAGATGTTCACCAAGCCCAGCATTTGCTAAGCAGGCTGAATCAGTGCGGGCCTAAAAGAGTACCTGGCTCAGGTCTACAAACATATGCTGAATGCTTATGATGTACCACGGACTGTGTTGGGAATACAGAGATGAAGACATCAAACCAGCCTTAGGAATAAGGAGATGAAGACGTCAAATTAGCTTTAGGAATACAGAAACGAAGGCGTCAAACCAGCCTTAGGAATAAGGAGATGAAGATGTCAAACCAGCCTTAGAAAGGACAGGTGGGAGGTCGGGCGTGGTGGCTCATGCCTGTAATCCCAGCATTTTAGGAGGTTGAGGTAGGTGGATCACTTGAGGCCAGGAACTGGAGACCAGCCTGGCCATCATGGTGAAAACCCGACTCTACTGAAAATACAAAATTAGCCAGGCGTGGTGGCCTGTGCCTGTAATCCCAGCTACTCAGGAGGCTGAGGCATGAGAATTGCTTGAACCCAGGAGTCAGAGGTTGCAGTGCGAGCTGAGATCATGCCACTGCACTCCAGCCTGGGTGACAGGAGACTCTTTCTCAAAAAAAAAAAAAAAAAAAAAAAGACTAACGGGAAAGATAAACACATCAACTCCTAATCACACTGCAACATAATATGACCAAACCAATTCACACCAAAGGAGCCTCATATTCAGAGGTACAAAATACCAATGGGCACAACATCCAGCTCAGAATCGTTGGAGCAGAGGATGGAGGAGAGAATAGAAGTGATGGATGGAGATGAAAAGCAGGTAAGGCTCAATCTTGGAAATCTTTGTAGGCAATGCTAGAAAAACTTCAGCTTTATCTTTTAGGCCATAATAAACCCCTGAAAAATTTTTAAGCAGGCGAGGAATAATTAGATGTCTGCTGATTATAATTCACTGCAGCCTCAAACTCTTGAGCTCAAGCAATCCTCCCACCTTGGCCTTGCAGGTAGCTGGGACTTCAGTCGTGTGCCATTACACCCAGCTAATTTTTATTTTTTATTTTGGAGAGATGGAATCTTGCTCTGTTGTCCAGGCTGGTCTTGAACTCCTGGCCTCAAGCAATCCTCCCACATTGGCCTTACAAAACACTGGAATTACAGGAATGAGCCACTGTGCCCAGCTGTTAGATGTCTTTTTAAATATAGCAGTGTGGAGTATGGATGTGACAGACAGTAGACTCCAGGCAAGGAATCCTAAAAGGAGTGTCTTGACACAGTCCAGGTAAGAAAGGACAAAAGCCAGAAATAAAGCAATGTCAGTGAAGGTGGAAAGGGAAGAACAGTTTTAAGGAGTATATAGGAGGTCAAAAAAACAGATCTTGTTTGATGGTATTTATGCAGCAAGAGCACAAGGAACAATAATGAATGCCTTGGGTATAGAGATGTTGAGTTTGAGGTTCATACGAGATGTGGATGGAGATATCCACTAATCGGCCTGCAGCTTGGAAGAGAGGCCAGGCTAGAGGTTTGAAAGTCACAGATGTAATAAATGTAGCAAACTATGAGAGTGACTGAAATTGCCCAAAAAACTATGAAAGTGAGGACAGGGGAGAGCCTGAGATGCAACAACTGGAGAAGTAAAGTGGGGTGACCAAGGAGAAGGAGGTTCAAGGAGAGAGTTTTTTTTTTTTTTTTTTCTTTTTTTGAGATAGAGTCTCGCTTTGTCACCCACGCTGGAGTGCAGTGGTGCTATCTTGGCTCACTGCAACCTCTGTCTCCTGGGTTCAAGCAATTCTTCTGCCTCAGCCTCCCGAATAACTGGGATTACAGGCACGTACCACCACGCCCAGCTAATTTTTTGTATTTTAGTAGAGATGGGGTTTCACCATGTTAGTCAGGCTGGTTTCGAACTCCTAACCTTGTGATCTGCCTGCCTCAGCTTCCCACAGTGATGGAATTATAGACGTGAACCACCACAACTGGCTTTTTTTTTGAGATGGAGTCTAGCTCTGACGCCCAAGCTGGAGTGCAGTGGCGCTATCTTGGCTCACTGCAATCTCTGCCTCCCGGGTTCAAGTAATTCTTCTGCCTCAGCCTCCCGAGTAGCTAGGATTACAGGTGTGCGCCACCATACTCAAGCTAATTTTTGTATTTTTAGTAGAGACAAGGTTCTACCATGTTGGCCTGGTTGGTCTCAAACTCCTGACCTCAGGTGATCTACCCACCTCAGCCTCCCAAAGTGCTAGAGCAACTGTGTCCAGCCTTGTTTTTTCCCAGGCTGGAGTGCGGTGGAGTAATCTCGGCTCACTGCAACCCCCCCTCCCAGGTTCAAGTGATTCTCCTGCCTCAACCTCCAAGTAGCTGGGATTATAGGTATGTGCCACCACATCCGGCTAATTTTTGTATTTTTAGTCGAGATGGGGTTTCACCTGTTGGCCAGGCTGGTCTCTAACTCCTGACCTCAAGTGATCTGCCTGCCTTGGTCTTCCAAAGTGCCAGGATTACAGGTACGAGCCACTGTGCCCGGTCGGAGAGAGTTTTTATACGTTACTGTTATCAAATGCAGTAGAGAAGTGAATTAAGAAAATAAAGAGGCTGGGCACGGTGGCTCACGCCTGTAATCTCAGCACTTTGGGAGGCCAAGGTGGGTGAATCACAAGGTCAGGAGATCGAGACCATACTGGCTAACATGGTGAAATCCCGTCTCTACCAAAAATACAAAACTTAGCTGGACACTGTGCTGGGTACCTGTAATTCCGGCTATTTGGGAGGCTGAGGCATAAGAATTGTTAGAACACAGGAGGTGGAGATTACAGTGAGCCGAGACTGAGCCACTGCACTCCAGCCTGGGTGACAGAGTGAGACTCTGTCTCAGAAAAAAAGAAGAGAAAGAGAGCCAGGCATGGTGACATGCACCTATAGTCCCAGGTACTCAGGAGGCTGAGACTTGTGAATAGCCACTACACTCCAGCCTGGGCAACATAGTGTAGCAAGAACCTGTCTCTGTAAGAAAAAGAAAAAAAGAAAAGAAAAACAGTAGTTGGATCTGGTGATTCAGAGGTCACTGGAAACTTTTCTTAGAGCAGCTTCAATGATGCTATGAGGCAGAAGCAGGGTTACGACTGGTTAAGCAGGGTCCTCTTTTGAGAATCTTAGATGAGAAGGCAAAGAGATAAGAAGGAAAAAGAAAGCCACAGTCAAGAGATGAGCTTTGGTTGGCTGGTTTTAAATTGGTGAGATCTGAGCATGTGGAGGGGAAAACGCTACTGGAAAGGCAAAGATTATTAACGCAGAAATGAAAAGCAAAAACAAAGTCATTCCCTAGTGAGATGGGAAGGAATGGGGATTGAAAACCATATGGATGGCCTGGCTTTGAAGGGGTTGGTTACGTCAGAGTAAAGGAGAGGATTGTAGGCCACACCTACCTCCATTCTCCTCCTCACTGAAGAATCTTTCTTTGCAAGATGTTTGATATGCCTCATTTTCTCTCTTAGAGCAGAGTCCCTGGGAACTGTGTGAGTCCCTAAGCAAAGCATCAAAAACTTCAAAACCAATTTGATTGCCACATTGACCAAGTTGCACTGTTACAATTGACATGCTGAACCACAAACTAGGTGTATTATCTCAAAAAAGTGAACAACCTGTAAAAAAAAAAATAGGCTTTGAGAATCACTACATTATTAATCAGAACAAATAAAATGTCATGTGTTAATTATACATCAATTAAAAGTAATTTTAAAATGCCACATACATATATAATGTTGGAGATGAATCAGCTGTGTTGTCTAAGGAGCCAGTCATTCAAGGGAATTCTTTTACTCTCTATATGGTTTTGAGATTTGTGATTTACTGTACCTGAATCCATTCATACACAGCTCAATAGTTTCCAAAACCGGATTCATACTCACTTTTTTCCTAAACATACATTTGAAACAAAACCTTCTCCTCAGCTGAGGAGTGACAAAAGAAAAAAAGAGGCCGGATGCAGTGGCTCACGCCTGTAATCTCAGCAGTTTGGGAGGATTACATGAGCATGGGAGTTCCCGACCTAGGCAACATGGCAAAACCCTGTCTGTACAAAAAATACAAACATTGCCGGGCGCGGTGGCTCACGCCTGTAATCCCAGCACTTTGGGAGGCCGAGGCGGGTGGATCACGAGGTCAAGAGATC